TTTGTTGAAAATGGTTTAATATTTTTAATACAATTGTTTTATTAAGATTTCAAAAGTGGGCTAGCCTAATTAAGCCAACTTTAATGGCTCCAGCTGCAGGGAGAAAGAGCAGGAGTGCCCTCATCAGCCGCCTCCCATGAGAGATGCTGCTGCTACAGGCAGAGGTGTTAGCACAGCCAACAGCCATGCATTTAATCCTCTTACCTGCCCCCAGAGCCTCTTTTCTTACTACAGAATTAACGGTTTCATGTCCTCACTTGACACACAAATCAGCAGCAGCTACTGTGTTAACCCCATAGCTGTCGACAAATACTACCCACAACTGGCCCAAGGCACAAACCCTACCATGTATGCCTCTGGACATCATCATCACCTCAAAGAACCAGTTATATTGCAAGCCCCTCATCTTACATTCACATACCAGGAAACCTCATTAAATACATTTTCTATATCATTAAACTGCTGCCAAAGCAGCGTGTGTTTAGTTATGGAAACCAACTATGAAGCTGATTAACTGCAGCTAACACTGAGCACAACTATAAAATACATGGCCTACATTGAACAAACATGCTGATGATGGGAAACTTTTTTTGTTGGACCCTTAAAAAAAAAAAAGGGTGGGTGTTCCCTCTCCCTGCAATGAACTGGCAACAGGCCAGAGCCCAAGCTAGCCCTGACACCCTCTCCTTGATGCTATACATGCTTGATCTTAGCCAAAAGGCTGAGATGCTGCTGGGAACCTACCACATTTTTTGGGGGTGGTTCTTTTTATTTCAAGGGCTAAATTGGTTCCAAATTTTACTGGGCAAGGCCCAATAGTCAAGTTCCAAGTTTTGACTGAGCAGAGCTCCATCATGCAAGTCTGTGGCTCAACCATCAGTCAAGTACCTTTCCCAGGGTCAACAGTCCAGGGCTTCAGATACTTCCCAAATCTATGGCAGACCTCCTACGTGCAAGTCCAGGACCCCTGAGGTTCAGATGCCCCCTAGTCTTGCTTGCTCTAAGCAAAAAAGCCAGGGAACAAGCCAGGGGGAAAGCAAGAAAGCACCCAAAATTGCCACAAAATTGTGCAGTTGAGTTTGAGGAAACTCGCAGGAGTCAGCAAGCCTGGAGTGCAAAGGGTAGGCCTGGGAAAACCACCAGTGACTATGAGATTTCCACTACCACAAAAACAGGTTAATGCAGGCCATCTCAATAAGATACATAGTAGTGCCAATTAAGAACAGTTCCCCTCAGCATCAAGTCAGGTGAGCCATTACACTGCATACATGTCAATTTCTTCAATTCTTTTCACTCCCACAGCTGAGCTATGCCTCTCTTTCCCATTTCCAACAAGTCCTGTCTCTTCACCAGCCTTAAATGTCTAGCAAACATTACCAAATAGGGCCCTAAACAGTTCACTCAGAGTCCCTCTGCTGGTCCTTCTCTCAGCCTGTCATATATGATTAGTGTGGCCCCACCCCCCAGGAGGTGAAGCCAGACCAGGCTGCCTTGTACCTCATCTGCGTATAATTTTTTGGAGCATCCCAGAACCCTTGACAAGGACACCTGGTTCCAATTGAGTTGGGACTAATTAATTAGCCTATGGATCCTTTGTGGGGGGCCAGCGAGGTATCTGGAATACACACATACTGAGCAGTGCTGAGGTGTGAAATCACCATGGCTTGAAATGCTATCGACTCTGTTGGGGCACAGCCCAACAAACTATATGGTAAATCATGAGCCTTTTGGGCTTTAGACTAACATCGTGCTTAGTTTGTACTACAAGGTGACAAAAGAAGATAACAGAGAAGATGGAGGACACATGGAAAAGAAAAGACTGGCACAAACTGTTCAGAAATGAGGCCCCCCAGAAAATACATCAACAACAATGGAGAGGACAATGATACAACAGATAGCAACAAAGACGGGGTGAGTCATGAGCACAGTGTAGACTAAGGATTGGGGAGGGAAATGGAAGGGTAGTGAGAGGTGGATAGAGAAGGGGATGGTAGATGGAATGGAACTGTTCCCATTATTGTAACAGTTCAAGAAGATGGCAACAGGAGTGCAGAAACATGGGAGTGAAGTCTGGTTACTGTAACAGAGATGATGATGCAACTGTAGAGGTGTGCTTTAGACTGTCAAGTGAATCATATCAGTCACGAGACAGGTCCATGAAAGTATAGGTCTTATATATTTGTATTATATATACATACATGCATGCATACACACACACACACACACACACACACACATATATTTACACATATAACTGCATGTATCTGTGTGTGTATATTTTTTTTTGAAAAAACAAGTTTGTATTGTATTTCTCTTCTCTGCCTTCTAGCTGAGATCAGGGAAGACAGGGGGCATCTGGACCCCAATGCCTCCAGGCCTAACGCTTGCACATAGGATGCCAGCCTGGATTTGCGGAGTATCTGAAACCCCAGACCAATGGGTCTGGAAGGCAGGATACTTGTCCAGTGGTAGAGCTACACAGACTTCATGACTGAGCTCTGCTCAGTTAAATTTTGGAACTTGACTACTGGGCATTGCCCAACTGAATCTGGAACTGGTTTGGCCTTGATAAAGGTTAAAAAAAAAAGTTTGTACCATATAGGTGCCAAAGTGCTCCTTAAAAGTGTGCTTATGGAGTATCTGTGCTAAAACATGCAGAAGTTTCAAGACGGTAATATACATTAATTCTGGATGCACTAAATCTGTGGATACTATATGCAACTTACTACAGGCATATTTACTTTCAAGGTCAGTATTTTCAAATTTGCTTTTCACATCCACATTCTCAGGGAAAGAAGGATCTGACAGTAAGTGGGGGGAGGGGCTGCAAGGGGAAGAAGCTGAGAAGAGGTAGAAAGTTGGGAGGAGGCAGACAGAAAGGGGGCTACATGACTCCCTAGATTTATTTTCCTCGCTGTAGCAATGGGAGGGAGACAAATTCAAGGCAAACCTCCAGTAATTAGATTCTACACTTGGAAAATTATAACAAATTTATACATTTTCCATACATAGAATCTAATTTTTTAGAAGGGGTCATCTTTGTATTTGAGTAAGTATAGTAACTGTTCCTTATTCTCTGAACATGAGTCAGTGCCAAGCAAAATCCCCACAGAACAGTAAGAATAAGAGTTCCAGTTTCATCGGTTGAACATCATTTGTAATAACTGAGCCTCAAATTTAGCATTTGATACAGCAACTAAATCCAAAGGCACAGGGCTTATTCGGATCAAATTACTCCCTCTTGCCAACTTGCAATGTGTGTGAAGCATTGTCACCTGAACATTGCTGGAGAGAGCTTTGATGTTCTATAGCAGTGTTTCTCAACCTGTGGGTCATGACCTAAAAATGGGTCGCAAGAATATATGAAAGGGTCATGAACAAACTTTATAAATGGATTATTCTTTAAAGGAGAAAAACATGGAAAACAGTGGCTTTTCCCTTGTAGGCTAGCAAAGTTCCAGCCTACAAGGGACTGCTTGGGGTCCCCCATGACTCACACATACCCCCCTGCCCCAAACATCCACCCTCTACCCCACACACTGGGGGGCTGGGGCCTGGGGCAGAGGCAGTAGGTCTGGACTGGCTATTGATGTTTACAAATGGGTCCTGGTACAAAAAAGGTTCAGAACCACTGTTCCATAGCACAGGTACAGCAGCTAAACAGTAACACAGAATGATGCAAGCTATTTCAAGACTCTCCGAGATGAGATAAAGTAACTGCAAACACCTGGCTACAGCCAGGGGATGAAGATGGAAGAAAAACAGTCTATATGGTTTAGTTCTTTTAATGTAATAACACAGAGTTCTGTGTTTTCAAAAGATCTTTTCCACAGAACACAGTTGATGAATTGATTGAAGGTGAAATTCTGAATCAACTGGAGTATGAATGTTGGATGAGGTCCACCAACACTTTGTCCCATTCATTTAAAGAGAGGGTCTTATGATAGTATACTGTACCTCCCAAGGCATCCCAGAAGTGGGCAGCCCTGAGGATCATCTCATAGTGACAGCTGTGTCCGTTTACCTTGTAGCATGTCCAATGCTTCCATAGGTGCCAAAGTACTGCTCTGGCAAGCATCTGTCCTCCTCTACAATTTACTTCAGCTTTCTCTGGCTTCCTGAGAAAGGCGTTATGCTCTCCCACAGGGCCTGACAATGTGCTACCTGTAGCTGCAGTAAGACTAACTCATAAGACTAACATGTGAGCAGATCCATCTTCCAGGATACACTGTCCTTAGGCACGCCCTTTTACAGACTTGGATTTTTTTTAGCATCACTGAAACTACCAACAACCCATAATTTAGTCAGTACTGAAGTGCTTGAATTTTTCCAAGGGTATTGGATAGCATTTCCCCATCTTTTCAGAGGCCAACTGAATGCAGAACAGGGTTTGCCAAAGGGCTGTGGCCAGTTCTTGTATATACTCACATATGGGAAAAGCAAATCCTGCTTTTTGTGGCTGAGTCTGCCCTGGCAGTAATTATCATTTGGTTCGTCTTGCTGTAAGGCAGGGAGAGTGGAAGAACATACAAGAAAATATAATGGGAGTGGATTTTTATTTCTTTTGAACATCCAAATTAAAAGAATTAACAAATAAGGAAAGCAAAGAATTACTAACAAAAATTGCATTTAGATGGAAAGATGTGTGAAAGAGTCACAGCTACTCCATTCTTTGGAGCATTGGCACGAGAGTGCAAGGCAGCATAAAGAGCATGTGAGGCTCTGATGGACAGTGCTAAAAATATCCAATCCCATAAGGCAAACACACATACAAGACCCACACAGATACATATGTAAAAAGCATCACCAGTTTTAAAATCATTTTATTCACTGACATAGCATGGATTAGCCACAAAAAAACATTATGAATAAAGGTTGGCACTATAAGCCCACTTTAGGAATCTTAATAAATAAAATAATTGTAATAGAAGTAACTAGACCATTTTCAACAAATCATTTAAGTCAATATACAAAATCTAAAGTGTTCTGATAAAACATACCTTTCTTTACTGCCAATATCATCATCATTCTTTAAATACATAGAGAAATCAATCACACCAACCTAGAGAGAATAAAATGTATTCATATTTTAGAAAATCAGAGTATTATTGAACAATTAATGTTATTATTCCTTTTTAAAATATTTAACTATCAAAATCAGATTCTCTAAGAGTGATCTAGTCCTGACACTTTCTTTGGAGTGTGTAAATCTGAATGTTAACATTTTTTACTCTGCATTTAAGATTTTTTTGTAAAGCTAATATACACAATCAATTTAAAACCAAGCTACCTTAGAAGCAAAATGAAAATATGCAAAAAACCTTTTCAGTTCTTGGAAGAGAAGTCTTCTTGCATTTAACTGAGTTCATCCCAGCAGGAATAGAGGAAGCATAATTTTATTTTTAAAATTCCTTTGAATACAGGGTAATCCTACTCATCCTATGTAAAAAAAAGATTTATAATGTTTCTGCCAGTAAACATTAAACACTTCTCTCCTTCCACTTCTGCAACATTCCTTGCCAAATAACGCTGCTTCTCTACCTTCATTGATTCCCACACTCAAATCTCAACAATTTATTTATACCTTTTACTTCTAAAAGCTGTCTCCCTTTCTTCAAACAATATGATCATGTACTGATCTTTACCATATTCAAAGAAAAACAACATCTTATCACTGTATTTACTACCTCATTTCCCTTGTTTCCTTCATCTCTATGCAAAATCTAAACTAACCCAATGTGACATTTACAATATTTGCCTTGAATTCCTCTCTTCTCCTTTCTTTCTTGATCCTCTTCAACTGAGACTACTGTTTTCTCTGCATAACCACAGCTTGAGGCCTCTTGTGTACCCTCATCATTTGTGAGCCTCTTGATACTTCTGACACTGCTGAGCACACATAATTTCTTAAAACCTACGTTTTCCTTGAGTTACACAACACTGGTCTGTCCTGTTCTCCTCTTAATAGTCTAGATGTTCCATGAGTCTTTTGACAGATTCACATCTTTCCCACTCTTCAACACTGTTCTCTCACAATTTTGATCTTTACAATGTTGACTATCTTTCCATTCTGGATCTGTCTCCCTAGATCCACTTGGATTTGCATCCTATACCCTAGTGTGACTGCTTTTCCCTATAACTTAGTATAGTCAACAAACTTGGCCAGCGTACTTTCCACACCCTCACCTAAATCATTGATAATGATGTTGAACAGAGCAAAGCCAAAAACTAAATCCTGTGGTACACCACTGGCCACCTCCTGCCAAGGTGATACAGTCCCATCCACTAAAACTCTCTAGGTTTGACCTCTTACCCAGTTCCCAACCACTTGATCATGGACTCTGCCAGCCCACAATTCCAGTTTTTTTTATAAGAGAATCATGGCAGATGATATCAAACGCCTTTCTAAAACCCAAGTATGACATCAATTGCATCTCCCACATCCAAGTCTGACATTACTTGAGCATAGAAGGAAACGAGGTTTGTCAGACATGACCTGCCCACAACAAAACCATGTTGGATATCCTTTAGCATCATGTCTTCTGTCAGTCTATCACTAATGAACTTCTAAGATTCATAGTTTCATAGACATTTTAGCTGGAACAGACCCTGGAGGATCATCGAGTCTAGCCCCCTGCCCCTGGGGCAGGAAGTCAGCAGGGTTCATAGGATCCC